TTGGAGATTTATCCGTGTCCTCGGGGTCACTTGAGTAGTGCAAATAGGTGTGGAACCTTCTTAGAACTGCTGAAAGGACCATGTTGTAGATTGAAGATAGACAATGTGGTACCTCTCTCCCTCTGTTGAGAGGGCTGTTCATTTTTGATATTAGATGGCCTCTTTGATCCTTCTTTCAAACCAGTGGTCCTCTGTCTAAAATATGGACTTTGCTGTCTTCAAATCTTCTTTGTATTATCTGAGCAACCAACTACCTTGCTAGCTGTGGGAAATATCATGAGAAAACTAGCCAGGATCAGTCAGATATCTCAATGGCTAAAAGAGAACTGAACCTAGGATTGTTTGATCAAATCCAACATTCTAATTGACATATCCCAGTGGCTCTTTTTTTCCATAATAGTCATAAACATTTTCAAGTAATCCATTTATACCATAATATCCTGTATGTCCAAAACAAGTTGACTTTACTACATAAACATTATTCTCAAATTAATTTTACTTGCATTTTAGAACTAGAAGGATCCAAATTCTAAAACTATTTCTAAGTAAACAAATTATATTTGTTTCAATATAGATACGTTGATTCAATAGATTTAGAATTTGGGGTGCCCTTGTTCCTGCACAGGGCAGGGGCTGAACCTATGACAAACTCTCTACAATCTTATGGTAATTCATAAGATCTTATGGTAATTCATCCACTTAGATACTAGCTTGAAATAACTCAAAGTACATTTAATCAAGAAAACCTGAATCTCTATGGCAGACCTGACCTCTGGCATAGCATATCTACAAATGTGTATATTAACCCCCTACCTGTCCCTCATTCAAATAAACTCTTAACAACCTATTCTTTTCCTCAGGCCTTGAGCTACTGTGGATTGTTTTGCTTCCGCTGCAGCATTTTGAAGGTTTTTTAAAACACTTTTCAATTTTTCTGAACTGTTTCAATATTCTAGGCCAGGGGTCACCAAACTTTTGGACCTCAGGGACCACCAAACTCATAATTTTAAATCCCGCGGACCACTAATATTAATTTTGACTGACGGTGGCTTGCTGACATTGGTGGGAAAGTTGGTCCCATATTCCAGAGCTGCAGTAGTCACAGGACAGGCCCTTTGGTCATTCCGGAGCAGCTGCTCCTCCACCCGGGTGCACCAGCCTTCCAAGGACTGGAGGAGCTGCTCCGGGATGACCAACGGGCCAGTCTTGTAACTACTGCAGCTCTGGAATATAGGACCAACTTTCTCACCAATGTCAGAAAGCCACCCTGGGGTGGATTTCCCGCCCCCGCCGTTGTTCTTACCTTCCAGTTCCAGCTCATGTGGCTTTACTCAAGGTAAGGTTTGCGCTCAGCCGAAGGGTGGGGGCCAGCGGATAGGCGGGCCATGTGGGCAGCACAGCCTTGACTAATTGCTTTGGGGGGAGTGCTTGGGGGGGGACATTTCTCTGAGGACCACCAAAATTTTCTCATGGACTACCAGTGGTCCCCAACCCACTGGTTGGCGACCACTGTTGTAGGCTACACGTGTATTTCTACAAAAATGCTATAGAAATTAAAAGATAAGCACGACTTTATTGCCCAAAAGATTTTGAATGTTCAGGTCCAGGATGCCCATGGAAGCCTATGCACCACCTTGAAGGAGTGGTTATGAAAAGTTATGCCCACTTTGTTTGTCAATGTGCTAAAAAGTTACTACTGCGTTGCTTCTTTTCACACCTTTTGTTCCAGACTGAAGAGTTCTGCAAGTTTGTAAGTTAGCTGTTATGCAGAGGCTCCAGGCACACATTATCTTTCTTTAAGTAAAAGTTATGCAATTCTCACATTGCAAACTCAAGGTTTTTCAAAGGGTTTGTAGTGTTTGTGTTTTTATTTATGACCCAGCAGCAATCAAACATGCTGGTCATGCTAGCAAAGTGACCCACATTAATCTCGCAAGTAATCCTCCCTTAGCAACTGTCTCATTTAGTAACCATTCAGTTATGACACAGATTTTTAGAAACCATTCTATGATCAGTCCTCACATTTACAGCCTTCACATATCTGTAAAGCAAAATCAGATAAGCTGAAATAAGATAAGCACAGTTGCAGTTTTCACTTAGTAACTGCTTCATTTAACAACTAAATTGCCATCCCAATTATGGTCCCTAAGTAAGGTCTATGTACCTTGAAGAACTCTGCTCCAAAAAAATGCACTAACTTCCCAATCACACCCAGGTATCAGAAAGCTCCACAACTTTTCCACAGTAACACTGGAGAGAAAATGAAATTCGCGCTCAAGAGAGGGGAAATGACATTGGCACTCACATCCCCCTCTTCCCGTTTTTCTCTGCCCTCTGTAACAGGTACAAGAGAGCTCTAATCTGTTTCAGGCAACAGTGATTTACTTGAAAGCCCAGAATACCCGAAGGCCTTTAATCCCCAACGCAGAAGACAGGTAGCAGCAGATGGAAGGTCTCAATTGGGAGAGCTCCTTTGTTTCAGATTCAAGGCACTTTGGGGGTCCAAAAAGAGGGCTGAGCCAAGACACCTTTTCCGGCTTAAACTCAGCCCTGTTTCCAAAAAAAAGGCGGGGGGGGGGGACGCCCACCAGCCTCGAGTTTAAAAGTGTCGGGGCTGAGGAGAAGAAAAAGCAGCTGAGGTCAGAGGAAGGCAATCGCTTACCCCGGCAGCTCGCCAGAACGGCGCCGCGCTCGCTCTTCCTGGGTAACGCCGCTTCCAAGCGGCGAGAAAAGCCGGCTGGGGTCGGAGGGGCCCGCGATTTTGGCTCCCCGGAGCCAGCAAGAAACCGAGTAAAAAGGCGCCGGCAGCACAAACCAGGTAGAGGCCAAGCCGGAGCAGAAGCCAGGCCACGTATAGCTGTCCGACGACCTCCACATCCTCCTCCGGCGGCGGCTTCTGCTGCCCCAGATGGAAGAGGAAGACGGCCAACCCCACCATCCCCAGTCCGGTGGCCAGCATGGAGCGGGTCCACAGGATGGGGGGAGCCGCCGCCGCCGCCGCTTCTTCTTCGTCTTCTTCGCCGTCGCCTTCGGCCCCGGCTGGGACGCTGCTACTCTTCTTGCAGGATTCCCCGCGTCCGGGACTTGGGGCGCCGGAGGTGCCGGAGTCGACCGCGGCGGCCGCGGATTCCACCTGCCCGCTGCCCCTGCCAGAGGAGGTGTTAGCGCCGGTATCGGGTAACATGCTGCTCTAGGAGCCGCCGGAAAGCAGCACATCTCCCGCTCCGGGCCCTCTTCGGAAGGTCTCGGCTCCCCCGTTGAGGGAGGTCTTCCCTAACCTCCGGCTCAAGTCCCTGAGCGCGCCGAAGCCGGTGCTGCTCATGCCCGAGAGGCGCGAAGGAAGCGTCCCCGCCTCTTTCTCTCCACTCCAGGCGCCAACCAGAGAACGCAACCCTACCCGACTCACCTCGGAGGCAGCCGAGGCCCCACTGGCGGCGTTGCCGAGGCGGGAGGGGGGCGGGGAAGCGCCTGAATGACAGCGCGGCCGGAAACCCAGCCACGTGCACCGGCCAAGCAAGGCCGAACCAGTCGCGTAAAAGCAACGAACAGCACCGCCTTCTTTTACTTCCTTTGGCTGATGGTTACGTCCATCTTATCGCTAACCGGGTCTTGCTTCTCAAAAAAAGGGCTCCCACTAGTGTCACTCGGAAGCCTTTCGCCGACTCTGCTCTTGGTCGCCGTTTCGACAGCGAGCGATTTGCAGGGCTGCTTCTCCACTACGCGCCGCCAAGTACGGGTGTGTGTGTGTGTATGTGTGTCATTGTTATTTTCTACACTTTTCTGTGGCGCAACCCAGCCTTGTGCATGAATCCTTAGCCGAAGTAGACATGCAGTTGCAGAACAAGTACTTGCAATAAAGCACACGGGGAACACCGGTTTGACCACGCGGCGACAAATGTTTTCTCACAGTGGAGTCTTCGATACTCTCGGCTTGTTTGCTTGCCGACGTTTCATTACCAGACTAGGTAACATCTTCGGTTTACCTAATCATGGAGTAATGTTTGCTCAAGTTTCGGTTCAGTGGAACCGGACGGGAAGTAAATGCATTTAACCCAGCCTTCTGCAAATTTGCTCCTGCAGCAAAGCAAATCAAATCATTATTTATTCTGTCCTTTGATTCAATTGTTGAATATAAAGACAGATAGTAAAATGATAGTAGTCTTTCCCCTATTTCATACATTCAGTCAGTAATCATAGAGGACAGAATATTATTCATTTTGGGGAAGTATACCGAATAGCTATCATTACCTGGATTTTCACAATATTGTATTTACAAACGCTGGAAGCTTTATATAGTTCTAGCGCTAAACTATGAAGAAAATCTGTAGATTCTCAATCATCCAGGTCATGGTTGGTCCTAAAGGTGCTTTTTCAGGAGGCAACCGGACTTTCTTGTTTTTTCTTTTGAAGACGTTTCGCTTCTCACTGAAGAAGCTTCTTCAGCTCTGATAGCATAGTGGGGAATGAAAGGATTTATATTCCTCTGCATCCTTTTAGAGGGTGGTTGAAACACTGAGAAACCTCCAAATGCTTCAACAAACCCTCCAAAAGGATGCAAATGACCAGCTGTCTGCAAGGAATATAAATCCTTCCATTCCCCACTATCCTGTCAGAGCTGAAGAAGCTTCTTGGATGAGAAGCGAAATGTCTTCAAAAGAAAAAAAACAAGAAAATCCACTTGCCTCCTGAAAAAAGCAGCTTTGCGACTATGAAGAAAATCATTCTATTTTAGCTGGTGCCAAAGTGTTTAAAGCCGTGTTTTTTTAAAAAAAAAAAACTTGGCAACTTTAAGTTGTCCATGGCCTTCGACTGCCAGAATAACCCAGCCAGCATTCCTTAGCATGGGGAATTGTAGAAGTTCACACATCTTAGAAGTTACCAAATTTGAAAAACACCATTTTAAAGTGATTTTACCCGATCCCTAAACGCGTTTAAATATGCCTGTTCAACTGAGAATTTGGGGAAATACCAAATAATACAAACAGGTCAATTTGACATTAAAGGGGGGACCGCATGATTTAGGAAACCATACAGTTACAAAGGTTATTTGCGAAGATTTCTAAGGCTGCGGCAAACATAGGATGGTGCTGGTTCGTTTCGCTGGCGAACCAGCTTCGCCTCTTCTCCAGCGACCGGGACGCCGCGTTCCCCGCTGCTGCACGGAAAGGGAACCCGGACGTGCCAACGCGGAGGCGGAAATATTTGTTTCCATGTCTTCTATCCCTCCCTTTCCTGGTTACGCAAACACAGCGCGGGCGGGAGAGTCCGGACTCGCTTGCGGGATACAGCAGAGCTGCGGAGCGAGCACGCAAAACGCCTCCCTTTTTCCTGCTGCGGGTGAGTATCCAGCCCATCCCCCGAGCGGAGCCTTGCTTCGGTCTCGTGGCGGGGTTAGGGGTCAGCGGCCCCTCCGCGAAGGGGAATCGATGCGGGGGCATCGCCATTTCGGAATGGAGGGACAACACATTTAGCTAAGTACCGGAGAAGAGGGGGGAATCGTTGTACCCCTTTGCCCGGAGGGGCTGTGCCTCCGTAAATAGCCATCCTGAATGCAGCAGATCTGTTGCACGTGGCTGGTATCGTATGGCTTAGTTATATCCGAGTTAGCAAGAGTTATGTTTTAATTTTTTTTTAAGGATTTCTTTTACACGTGCAACTTGCAACGAACAGGCATTATTCTCGGTCTTAGAACAAACGTGGGGGCCGCCAGGTGTTTTGGTGAAACTGCGGAAGAGGCTGAGGGCTCGGTGCGGATCTGACTTGTTAGTGGCTGGGTTACAACTGTTCGTTCCAAGTCTAGCCGCAAACTTGCCTCTCTTGTCCGTAAGAAGCCGGAGTTTATCCAGCTACTTGTAAGGACACCCCGAGGACAGCTCTTGCCTGGGGTGTTTTCTTACAAGGCTTGCATTTCGGGGCTGTATTCCTTTGAGCAGAAGATGACTCGATTTTGCAACGTAGCAATAATAAGGCGGGTTTTGCCTTAGCTAAATTAATTACATTACTGCAGGCAATTATATTTTATTTAATACAGTGCAAATCATGTCTTAATGCAGTGTATGAATTCAATGCAAAAATGAGCAATTTGCCAGTTCTAAATGAGATCTCTTCTAGTCATTTGTAGATCATGGGAATAGAGCAAACTGAGTACTATTTCAAGATGCAATCATTTTTAATTCCTTAGACCCAGGGGTCTCCAGCCTTGACAACTTTAAGATTTGTGGACTTCAACTCCCACAATTCCTCAGCCGGGACCCAGGCTTAGACCATATAGTTTCTTGCAAGAAAAAACTGGATGGAAGGAAAAATACACCGTTTTAGGGATAAATGTTTTTTTCCCTTTCTTCACTTTCTGAGAGAGTAAAATTGCCTGTTTGCTTGTTGTGATCTTTTCCCCAAAACATCAAATTGGTTTATCTCCCTTGTGTCTTGTCTTGATGTGAAGAGGTTAGAACAACAGCCATGACAGTTCTGTCCTAGCAAAGCAATATGGGTCAGACAAAACTCTTTCTGAGTAATGAAGTCTCCAACATAGGGTGGGTTGTGGAGAATGGCTCATAAGCAAAATCTTAACAAAGGTTTAAACCCTTTATTCATATTTTTAAAACCTGAAATAATGGGCTATAACAGTGCTGAAAGAAGACTTACCAGGCAGATGAACATTTGGCATTTATCTGTATTAAAGGTTCTCAAGCATTTCATTCTCAGTACCCCTTTGCATTCTTAACAATGATTGAGGGCCCCAAAGAGCTTTGGTTTATCTGGGTTGTATCTATCAATAATTACTGTATTAGAAATTAAAACACAGATTTTAAAATACTTGTCTCCATAGATGGGGGTGGGGGGGGCAGACCACACTTTGAGAATCACTGTCTCATTCCTTAATTCCTGGGCCAGATTGACTGCATGCTAAACGTTAACTAAATTTGTCATGACAACTGCAGTTGTATTAATATATCCTATACATATGCCCAAACAGTTATTCTCCATAGCCTGCCTCCCTCACTTCAACAATCCTACACAGCAGTTATCACAAGATGCTAATTTAATTTTAAATGCAATTACTTCTGAGTGTTACATTTCCAAGGAGACAGAGAAATTACTTTATGTAGGATTGTGTAGGTGTCATATCAGCACAGGCATATGCAGTGTTTTGTAATGATCTCAAGTTATGTTTTAATTTCAAATTCTTTAAATTTTAAATTACCAAAATATGTGGAATGCATAGGTGCCTGCAGAATATGGTCAAAAAAGTAAGACAGCAAATGATACAGTCAAAATTTTTGCCTGTTTTTATGTGCATTGCAACATACCCCCCCAAAAAAACCCCAGTGGAATTTAATTGCATTGTCATAGTTGCCATTTTAACTTTTAAATCATACTTTGCAGATGGAGGGGGGAGGAGAAATTTCATCTTCCCACTTGAAAATACTCAGTATTCAGTAATAAAATAATATAGTTCATGACTGAATTAGTAATGCTAAATGATAGGGGAAGTATATACTATACTTTGAAACCAATTTTTAAAATCCATCTATGCCTATATACAACTCAATAAAAAGTAGCTGTACTTCCGAAGAATAATAGAAATATATAGGAAGCATCAGGTATCCATTTTTTTGAAATTAACCTTGTAATCAACAGTAGATAGTGTATTGTTTGAGGACCCCCAGTTTCTATCTTTGTTTAAGTATGCAAGGTAGCTGGATTACCTATAACTAGTCATTCCCTCTCAGCCCTAATCATTCTTTTTTATTTATTATTTTTATTTAATATACTGTTTATTATGGTTATTTTAAAGGCCTAGTCATTCCCTCTTAACCCTGATCATTCAAACAAGGCTCCACAACAAGCCCTGTTTGAAAAAGACAATACACCCTCTGCACCCTCATGTCACATCAAGCATTGATAAGCTTTGGTGTAGTTGCTAAGTGAATGCAGGGGGGAAAACAAGCAGATCCTACAACCAAACAGAACAAGCATTAGGAGCAACAGACATTTTGTTACTTATAGTAAGTAGGGTCTGTATGGAGAAGGTTACAAAAATGTGTTGTTAAATATAGACAACCTAGAATAGAGTTCTTGGACAAGTAGTGGATATATTAGGTTAAATGGAAATTAACTATATGGTGTAATTAGGGATAATTTAATTATGCTTTTCTTAATACAATCAATAGTATTATATACAAAATAATATAGGGTGGGGGAGATCCAGGTATCTTTTGTACTCCATGGGCCAGGCATGCCCTGGGATGACTTGCGTGGATGAAAATCTGTATCTGAGTTACTGTTGATTAAGAGTCTTGAGCCCAGTGTAGAACAGAGTACAAGATTGTTTGTTGTTGCTATTGTAAACAATTGAGAAGGAAAGAAGCTTTTGGCAAACTACTGTCAACTTCCAAAAAATAATCTCCTGCCTATTCCTGCATATATTAAACATATATTCTGAGTTTAGTGCCATGATTAATATTCCTGTCTGAAAAAAAATCACAGCAGTTCAGCTCACAGCAGTACCATAGCAACTGAAGTAGAGAGACATAATTTATTATTGCCTGACATAGCAATTAATGAATTAATGTGAAGTTTCCTTCAAATATCACTGACTCAGTGAAGCTATTGTAGTGGGTTCAGGTAATTTTCCAGTGTGAACTGCCTAACATGCCACTAGATTGAAAGGAGGCACAGTGGTATCTCAAAGACTTATCTATTTTATTGTGACCATAAGGTTCCATTGGTGAGAACCTGCTTCAATACAAGTCTTGGGAAAAATCCTATTATAAAAGTATTTTATTCAACTGAGCTACCTTTTTGGAACTAATTGATAAAATATCTAAAAGATGGTAATACTCCAACTAAATTATCAACTGGAGGTACCAATATATTATTGTAAATGGAGCCTAGATGTCCATTTTTATTATACTTTAATGGAACACAAGCACTGTAATAAAGGTTTCTTTTCCCTAATGTGGTATTGTACTGTTTTAATATAACAGCCATAGTTGGGCATTATTTTTACTAGGACCAGACAAGGAACCAGGGTAAGCGGTACAAAAAAAGCAAAGAATGAAAAAAGGAATGGAAAAATCTATACCTTGCGTCAGATGGAGATGGCAAATTAAATGAATTAGTTAATAATAGAGGATACAGATAACCAAACTGAAAAAAGAAATTATTCCCTCTCTTTTCAATTTTGAAAATGTCAAGGTACTACACTAGGGAAAATATTTTTATTTTTATTTCCTGCTCTCCTTAAATGTTTGCATTGCTCCTGACATTTTGAATTTATATTATCCACCTATGATTTTTATTTCTATCTCTAAATTAATACATATATTATTTGGTTTTAATAATACTATAATTAGTGTTACCGATATTTTAAATTACATAGTTGTTCACTTGATATAAAATAAGTTAGTAAATCCACAAAACTTATATTTTCTATTTATACAATTACTATTGAGCAGTATTAAACCAACTTGAGTTATGTGATTGTACCAAATGAAACAACAGAATATTGCATTAATTGTTTCTGCTTGAAGAAGATAAAGTTAAAATTTACATTTGGGGGAAAAGATTTGCTGTAATAAAAGGTTAGAAAGATATTTTTCTTCCAGTGATTGGTATAATAATTCCAGTTTTCTATTTGTAGGGAAAACACTTAAGCAGTACTGACTTCAGTATGGACCGATATGAAGATGTATCTGATTGTGAAGTGGATCACTCTTTCTTTGATAGTGATTTTGAAGAAGAGATGAAGAAAGACAAAGCAACAACACAAATAAATAAAATGGAAAGTTCTGGGCCTGCACAAATAAAAGATTCAGTTACAGATGATTGTCATTTGAAACAGGAAGCCAAAGCAATGGAGGATAACGCTATTGAGGAAGAAAAGCAAGCTAAGCAGGCAGAATCTCAAAAGGAACACATGTTAGGAAATGGTGCTCATAATTCAAATAATGCTCTTTCTTTGTTAGCTTCTTTAAATCTGGAGGATCCAGTTGATCACAGCACAGCACAAAATGAACAAACACTTCATGAAAACATTCCCGTGCAAATTCCCCTAAGAGAGAAAGAATGTGAAGAAAATTACTACACAGATGAAGAAGACAGTAGTGATGATAGCAGAAATCAGAGAGTGAGACATAAGTTCTCTAAACAGCCTAATGGTACGAAAGTTAATAGGAATGTTAGTTCTTCCTCATCCTCTTCCTCATCTTCTAGTTCTGATACAGATTATTCAGATACAGGATCTGATGGTTGCCTGTCAGACTCATCATGTTCTTCAGAAAAGAAAAACATAAGATCACCACTTCTTTCATCAGGACAACAGTCAAGACAAGGAATAAAGTCAGTGGAAGAAAAATCAAAATTGGGTGACCACACAGAAGAGTCTGAAGATACAGTTACTGATGTAACTCCTCTTTCAACCCCAGATATTAGTCCCATCCAATCTTTTGAAGTGGCAGCATCCAATGATAATAAATTGAAGGTTAAAAGACAACAAAATGTGAGCCAGGAGTTATACGGTAAGTTTACAGAACTTATTAAAGCATATACATGGAAGCAACACTAGACTTAATATACCTGTTTATACTTTTTTTTTCATTAGAACCTGAGGTAGATCACAAATGTCTTCAAAAGGTACTACATGAAGCTATGGACTTGAATAACCTTTTGAAAGGTATTTTTCTTTTAATTCTTCAATATCATTTTTTCTCCTTATTCTTTCATTGTAATTGCATTCCAATATAGTATTTCGGATGATGGATGGATGGATTGCTTTGAATATGAAAAATATGTTCATTCTTTAGACTTACTTTATATTTCTAGGCATAGTAATGTGAATAAAAATTTATGAATTGAAAAAAATCAAGCACAACATGGTAATTTAAAATTTTCTATAAGTTATGTATTTTTCAAATAAAGCTAGGCATGGTTAATCCCAGACACACACACACACACACACACACAACCACAACCACTCAGTTAAAATGGATATGCAAATGAAAATTGTATTTTTATGGCCATACCTTTTACTTCAAACACTTGGAGCCTGTCATGATACAGAATATATTGGGCTGCTGTAGTTTTTCTGTCCACTGTTGCATCTAAAGCTTTGGATGCACAGTGGACCATTAAATAATTTTTTATTTATAAACATGACACCTAGTTTGGGAAAAAGATAGTTAAGCATAAGATCAGACAAGAAACAGAGCAGTTGATCTAATTCATAGTAAGGCTACATTACTATGAATCTTGCATGTCTGAATGTACAAATCTGCAGTCTCTTCTACTGCCTGATAAGTTAGGGAGGTTCCTTTCTAAGTTTTTTTCTCTGTCTTAGGCAGGTGTGGACTAAGCTTCCTCTTATCTACCTATGCTTCCCCCCACCCCCCTTTCCAGGTCATTTCCACATTGCCATTACAACTTCAGCAATATCTCACTGGTACTATTTTATTTTTAAATAGGGAAAAAGGAGAAATAAAGGCTGGGAGAGCATATATCTTATATAAAGAGCAGTAATAGTTGTTTATTCAATTAAAATTTATAATTTGAGGTATATTTGATTATAAATGCATTTCAGTTGTGCCTTAAGTTTCAATTTATTACTTTGGTCATTTTGATGAATAATCTATACCGTGACTTAGGAGGGTCTTCGTTTAGTTCTCCTGGACTTGAATACTTTTAGAACTGTTTATTTTGATACTATTAACAACTGTGGGATTGGGCTTCAGCAATGTATAGCAGAAATAGACATCTTTACTAATGGATTCTCTAAAAGGTGGTACTGTAAGACCATCATTCAGCACTAACGTTCTTAGCTACAGTGTTCTTTCTTGCACATTGGGTAATATCTACATGAAATCATCATTGAGATTATTCAGAATTTGATGAATCTCAGCTCTATTCTACTTTGTTAGAAATCCTTGTTAGAAATCATTAACTTTTCTGGAATAATATTTGATTTTAATAATGAATTGGATAAGGAGGAACTAGAAGTAGCTGAAATTTAATCTAGGTAAATTGAGGTCAGTAGACTGGAAATGTAACTTCTTAACATTTTCTGGAAGAGAGAGTGTTTTCCCTAAACGATCAGATTTATAGCTTGCAAAATCTATTCGATTCTCCTTTCCCAGATCTTCATATAGTGGAAAGAATAACATCTGGGTAGACATAGTTATACCAGCACTGATTTAATCACGCAATTGTTATTCCTTATGCCTGTGAGGATCTCGGTTGATTCACTTTCCTGATATGCATCACTTTTCCTTGTTGTGGTAAAGCAGGGATGTCAATCTGTCCTGGAAACAGCAAAGGACTTGCCTGCGGTTCCTCTGACAGTGAAAATGGAAGCGGCCCTCCCAAGCTCCATTTTTGCTGGCAGAGGGTTGCAGGAGGCTGTCCCAGCCAAAAATGGAGCTTGATCAAAAGCCTGTTTTCTCTGGCAGAGTACTTGGGCCACCCACAGGAGCCTCTGACATGAGTAATGTCAAGCTGGCCATGCCCCCCTGGTCCCCCAAGGTCAAACACAACCCTGATCAGCCTTCAATGAAATCGGGTTTGATACTGCTGTGGTAAAGTGTGTCACAGAGATGAGATACCCTTCCTCTGCAAAGCACTAAAGTGAAAGCTGATTCACAGGTCTTTCCTTAGAGACCTGTGCATGCCCCAAAGCCCCATTGTTCAGCTGAACTACCACAGCCATTCAAGCCCTCCAGTTTGAGGCACAATGCTTCAATGGATTGCTTCACTCAAATCTTCATTGAAGTGAAACTTCAAAGGTTTGGAAATCCTAATGTTCATACTTAATGATATTTGGATGATGCAGCAGAATCTAGAGGGCTATCCCTGAAAGAAACCAAAGAGGTTCAGTTAATTTAAAATGTGACAATAATTCTCAGTATAGAATTGAGAAACCTGCAGTAGTTACTAGTTGTTTTCTGGGCTCAGTCCACAATATTTGTCTTACAACTGTAAATAGCTATTGTCTGATGAAATCAAATTACTATGCACTTACTAGATTGTTACATTTTAAAGAATCTTACTTTAAAAAAAAACTAATGTATTAACCATAAATTCAACTATGAATGTAAAATCAATAAATGGATCTTCAAATACTTGGTCCCATTTAATTGTTCTTCACTTGATATGAGAAGTCTTATAGAAAGGTATTGTGATGTATTGCTGATGTAAGCAGATTCTTTATTAAGGCAGGCTGACAGAAACTTTCAAGAGTTGAAGAGCTGGAAGCAGGATTTCTTCATGTTATTAAAACTGATATACGGTATCTGTGTATCTGTTTCTCTCTGTGTTGAAAGAAAATAGGTGAGAAAAAGAGGGAAACTAAAGTGCTTAGAACTTTAAGGGTAGCATAAAAGAGAAGATACTTGTATGGGATACTGTGCCAGATATTTTTTTAAATATATAGTTTAAGATCTCTTTTTCTACAATCTTATTTGAATATTGTCTAATTGCAGTCCTTTCAGTATTGTTTGTGATTGCCATAGCTGTCCTATTGCCAGAGTCATAGAAATATATACATCTCTTGTATGATGTCCAGTTTAGCATCTTTAAATTTCTATGACTGTCTACATTGGTGGTTTTAATATCTAGAGCACCATTTGTCATTTCATTGACTGTGAATTTTAAATTAATTGATAAACTTGTTTTCCCTCTATATTCTGTGGCCCCAGTTCTGGGTGTTATGATACCAATTCTGGATTTTCTCTGTTAAATATCAAACAAGATCTTCGTGCATCAGGACATGAACTCTATGAATCTACAGTTTATATATTGTAGGTTTTTTTTCATGAGTTTAAGAAATGGGACATTATAGGCTGCTTGAAAGAAAGTTATTTCACTAGGTCAATGCTAAAATAAAAGTTTTTTCATCCAGACTCAGCCTATCAGTTTATTATTAATAAAGTCTCCTTCCTGGGACGCCTTTGAGTAACAGCTTAAAAATTGCTAAGAATCCCCCACGGAGAAAGTAAACTTACCTCTTTTCTAATCTGGAACGGGGCAGCACATTAAAAGAGTGGATCCATTTAATGAAGATAGCATTAGAGTGGCTGAGTCAGTTTCTTAAAGAATTCTTACAGTTAGCATTCCCATCTACCCATTCATTTTTTGCAAAAAAAAAAAAAAAGATAGGAAATAACAACCTTGTTGTTGACCTGCTGGTCTTCGATAAGATTTTTTTTTTGTCCACAGCACTGATTATAGAGAAAGTCAGGTTCACAGAATATGTTTTTTAATGCTTTTTGGTATATGTTAATGTTAGAAGTTATTTATTACTCTTAAAAGAAGTGTTGTTTAATCTTAGGTTTGGGGCCTTTACTTACATTTTTTTCAATTGAATTACTGTGTCTCAAGTACTAAACAATGTATTTCCAACTGTACTCCATAGGATTGTATGATAGAGCAAGACTGGGGTAATTTATCCATTGCAGAAAGCTAAAGCATTCTAATATAGAAGAAATTCTCTATATAGAGAGGCATCAAGCAATGAAGGGTTGAGATGTGTAAGTTATTCTTTAATATTTAATAGCATGTAGCTGTTCCTCCACATTTCAGTATGAAAATAGAATTTTAATATTATAAAAATATTATTTTGGGTCACCACATTTTCTATAATAAAGGTTCTTTTTTCTGATCAAGACAAATACCATAATCAAGGTCAGAAAGCAGGGAAGATCCAAAGTGATGAGCGTGGTAGGTTAGATGTCACCATTGGACATCTCATGAAGCATCAGAATAGAAAGAATGAAAATATTTCTGTTGCTAGTTTCCCCATGGAGAGCCCAGGTGCTCCACTATTGAGCTGAGTTTAGGCAGAGGTTTGTCCTCCGAGCTTGCTGCTTGGCTTCTGAACCAGCTAACACAGGGGTGGGGTGTAGGGTTTGAAGATGTTACCTAGCTGGGTTAGGAAATGTCCAGGAGCCATGCAGCAAGCTCAGGGGACAAACCTCTGCCTAAACCTACAACCCAGGCTACAAATATTCTCTACAATTTCTAAATTGAGCAGAGTCTCAAATAATCCTCAACATGGTCACAAATTCTATGCTGGAGAGATGGAGTGATGGACAGATTGGATCCCACCTAACTCTTCAGCCTTAAAGCTCTTTCAGGTAGCCTTGACACTTTCAGCAACTCTCAAGACTTCTTGACAGTTGTCTAAAACTGAAGTTCTCATACACAAGATTTATGAAGATGATAGTGAAAGTGCTGAATTTTACCAACAGGACTATTTCCCATTTAGAATCTCTTCTCTAGAACACTTATTTATTTATTTAGCTCTTCTCATTATGCTTAATCAGTGGCTGCCATAGCATTATGATGAGCAAAATGGCTGAAATCTAATTGTAAATACTGTAGCAATTTACGTATATACGCAAACACTAATTAAAGATAATTGCTGAAACAAATTCATGATTTATCAGTTATCCATTTAAAGAAAAACACCAAACAGGTAAATGATTTCAGTTAGCAAAAAAATAACTTTTCAGAATTCAGATGTTTATCATAAAATATATCTAATAAAGTCATCACTCCTTGGGCCAAAGTGGCTTTATTTGCTATTTATTTATAATAAGTATATAGCATGTACTTTATGTTTAACTGTGTTCACTTCTACTTAATATAGAATTGAGACACATAGAAGAGAAGGAGATAGCATAAACAGTCTAAACTATGTTCTGTCCCTAAATTGTATTTTCAGGTTCTGTCAACTTGAGAATTTAAAGTTAAAGAGCTATGCATAATGAACAGATTCTTAACTTTAAATTCTCAAATTAACCATTTAAGATTAAATTAACTGTAACTAATACAACAAAGAATTTAAAAAGGAATGGGACTATATAGACTGGAGGTATTAGAACAAGCCTCTACAATCCTACTGTTTAGTTAGTCCATATACTAATATAGCTGTGCATGTAGCAGAATTATGTTAATATATGGACTAACTAAACAGTAGATTGCAGAGACTTGTTCTAGTACCTCCAGTCTGTACAGTCCTGTTCCTTTTTAAATTCTTTGTCGTATTGGTTACAGTTAATTTAATCTTAAATGGTTAATTATAACAAGCCAATTTCTATAACTTTTAGTTTGAAACTGCCATGTTTCATAGACTGTATATAAAATAATCCACAGTCCCTATGAGAATAGAGACATAAAAGCTAACTTCCAGGTTTTTTTTAAGCCATATTGGAGGAAGAAGGATAGTGGTAGCGCTGTATTATAAAAAAGTGCCTCTGAACTATATTATTAGTTCCATTCTTTCTTTGCAATTTGATATACAGTAGATATGTGACTAGCCATTTACAGAGATTAAATATTTATTCAAAGACACAGAGTGGGATACTTGTAACCATGGTGAAAGAATCTCCACTATTCAGTATGCCAAACAATTATATTTTTTATAGAGATACTCACAAATTTCAAGTATTGTCCTAAACTCTCTTTGAATAGTACTGTGCTGTTGTAGCCCTACTATATAGTTTTGATGAAAAAAGTAGTTCAAAAGTGCTTGACTTGCTAATAGTTCAAATATGTGAATAGCATGTGTTATGTTTTATCATGTTTTAATTCTTTATTAAAGCCCAGGCAAAATAAAACTTATTTATATACTGAATAAATGTTTACACTGTGCAATCTTACGTTCTCAGCAATTTTACAAAAATAAAAATCCACAACACGATATACAGGTAGTCCTTGACTTACAACTGGTTATTTAATGAACATTTGAAGTTACAGAGACCTCCCCAGGGGTACTTATGGCCTGGTTTCAAAGTTCTGATGCCCCCCCCCCTTGGTCACATGACCACATTTCATGCCATCAGCAATCTGTCTGCATTTAAGACCATGTGCAGGGTCCCATATTCGAGTGGCCACGTTTTGCAAAGTTTTTGTCAAAACCTGGTATTTATTTCTAGTTTTGGTAATCCACAGCAAACCACTGGTTCACTTAACAGCCATGGCAGTCACTTAATAACTGCAACAAAAATAAAAACTAAAGTCAGTCATGTGGGGGGACTCACTTTACAACCATCACAACTTACGTGGTCATAAATCAAGGAATACCTGTAAACTAAAAGAATTAAAGAAATCAAAACAACTTTCCACTTGCAATTAACAATTGCAGTGGGACTATGTTAATTAATTAAAAGCCCTTTTGATAAGTTTCCAAAACGCCAGCAGGGTCAAGACATCTGAATTTCTGAGGGAAGGATATTCTGCAGTGGTGGGATAGTAACCAAGAAGTATCTCTTCCTAGCACTGATCCCTAATTTTGCAAAAGTACAGGAACATCAACATTTTTTCCTATGTATTGGCCAAGCCAATTCTGGTTGAAATATGCTATTCTGAGAGTCCTTTGACCCCAAGTTAAATGAGACGTTATAAGATAATTGTTTTCAGCTTCTGTAAGTAAATATCCTTTCTGTTCCTGTCTATTCTTGATGTTCATGGACATTATAGTTTCTATTAAGATGGTACAGATTCTTATTAAGAGTTGTTTCAGAATATATGCATGCACTTGTGGCAAGAACAGAGAATAGTTTCTTAAGCAATTATATAATCCAGAAAAAACTACAGATGCTATAATTATTTGATGGAAGGTACTTGGTACATGTGGACATACTAAAGCACCTCTTTCAAACAGCACTGACACTTTCAGCAACTGACAAGATTGCTTGGCAGTTGTCTAAAACTGAAGTTCTCATTCACAAGATTTATGGAAATGGTAGTGAAAGTGATAACTTTCACCAAACAGGACTATTTCCCATTTAGAAGTTTTTTGTCCTCTAGAACAGGAGTGCTTAAATCTGGCCCATGGTGCTGACCTCGAAATAGCAAAGGACCAGCCCGCGGTGCCTCTGGCAGCCAACTACCCCACTGCCTGTTTTGCCCGGCAGGGTGATACGGGAGGCCGTCCAGGCCAAAAACAGGGCATGCGAGCCTCACAAAGCCTCCTTATGACCGGTACATGGACTTTCAAACCCCTTGCTTTTGATGGCATTCAGTTGAAAGGGATGTATCTCTATTGTAGACCAATTGTTTGATTTGTTTTCTTATTTTACAAAATGTATCTCATGATGCTCTCTCCATATGCATTCTTGACTTCCACTTCCCCGCTTGTCTATTGCAGATTGGCATATCTTTTATGTTTTTTTTCTGAATCCTAGTAACATCTACAGATGCTACTCTTATCTCTCTATTCCTTTTCCAAAAACTCTGCTTTCCTAAATATATTTAGCAATGTAATATGGTGAATTAGAACTCTTGGTGGCCTTCTATATAAGATCGGTGAAGGACCTGTTTATGAACAATTCTTGTTGTTAATTTAACTCTTTCTGTAACATTTTTGTACATACCACAAACCTCACATGAGGTTTTGCTTTGAAAACAAATTCAACAATTTAATAATTCTATTAAATACATTCAGCAATTTCAGGCTCTCTGACATTGAAGTTCTTTTCAAATATTTTACAGCTGAGTCATCTATCCAAGGCATCTGTCACACAGACGGTAACCAATTTGCTGCAAACTTCATTACAGAATCAGTGATTTACAAGTTTGATAGTACAGTAGTGACTCAAAAGAGATTAAATATCAGTGCCAAAGGCTTTTTAAGTACTGTATGGTATATCACAGCAAATCCATTAATGATCCAAGAGGGAGGACTTCACTTAGATTATAGATTAGAAGTGGGCAAGACATATTCAAGAAATTTAAAATCTCCCACATTTGTAGAAGCAAAACAAATGTCACACAGTTCAGAAAGAAAAACATGGCAATTTTAATATTGTGCACAACTTATAGTTATGAAGTGATTCTTTTCTTTTTGTACCTGGAACTATTTAAATGTGACTGCCCACCTGACATACTTATTTAGACATGCAAAAGGTAGAAATGAAACTTCAGCATTCAGAATTTTGGGAAAGTCCGTCTCCTGCTCACCATTTTGTACTGAAAATTGTGAGAATGTGAGTCAGCACCTGCTTTAGTTCTTGTTGACTGATAATCTGCTGAAGAGGGATGGATGGACTCATTGCATTTGAGTAATTTAATTAGTACTGCATAAGATAAACAACCAGCTCTATTTAGAAATGCCCTTTATGTTTCTAATTAGGGCTGGTGTTCACATTGCCTAGTCCCAAATCAAATTTAAGAATGATCAAATGAATTAATTGTTTTTGTAATAAGCTTCATTTTGACTCTCTGCCTTATAATGTATATTAATTCTCTGAAAATTGTAGGAAATGTTTATAGTGTGTTTCTTCTGGAAGCAAGAATTGTGGTGCATTACACTTGAGCACTGTAATTATTTGGAAAGAAATGGGCCTTGTTTATATAGGGTTTCATTTTATCACAACTGAGAAATATTGTATGCTTGGACCTTTTGATCTTGGATCCTTGAAATATATTTGCAATTTAAGTCCTGTAATTTCCACCAAATGTCATGCTCTCTGAAAATTATGGGAGTTAATGTCCAGCACGTTTGGTGATTATAAAACTGAGAAAAGTTGTGTAAGAGGCTTTTGTTACATAAGCTTCTGCTACCAACTTCAGAATTGGGGGCCAGCTCCTCAGAAGTCCTTATTTGAAAGATGTGTGTGTGTGGCTAAATCTGAAAACAGGTTTTATACTTTTGAAGTAATCCTGAAAAAGCCTACTCATGCTGCATGTTTTCTTAAATATGTACTATGTCCAAAGCTTTTCTGCAGTTGGAGAAAAAGGATCAACAAGAACTAGCGTTGAATCAGTCTTCCGTAGGATCAAGGAAAAACTACTCATTCACAAATGACGAAGTACGACAAATTGATCGGGAAAACCAAAGGCTCTTAAAAGAATTGACAAAGCATTCTACAAAACCCAGAAACAAAAGTGCCTCAGTGAAGAAACCTTCAGGCTCAGCACCTAAAATGTACCACAGTGCCATCAACAGGCAGAAGGAACAGCAGAGGATCGACAGAGAGAATCTGGTTAGTTGAAGTTCTGGATTTAACAATATTAATTAAAAACTAGACTTCTTCGACTTAGTATGTTAGGCAAATCTGTCCACATGGTTTGAGGCTCATGATAGATAAGCATCTAGCAAATTGTATTGCATTGTGTAAACCATGCGCTTTCAAACTATGACTTAATGCATCGTGTAGACCACATTTGTTCTGTCCTCTGATAAGCGGATGTAATCTTACTAAACCACAAAGCTCTCCTATAATTCAGTTGTACTAGGAGTAGAAGAAAATCTGTCAAGTGAATCCTGCCTATTTGTAAGTGCTTGCTCTGGGTGGGAGAGATAAAAATCCATTTTCTGAAAGTATCCAAATAGGGATAAAAATATATAGAGGCACTAGAAACACCACTGTCTAATGAACTTCAGGATTGCTATCCAAACATAAAGATGCCTACTTATCTCAAATTTTATAAGAACAATGAGACTTCAAATGGTTCCTCAACTGATGGTCCTTGGTTGTAGGTTTGTCATATACAACTACTATTTTGTTTCATTTTTTACTTAATGTTAATACAATTGACAGAAAAATTCTTTTAACCCATCAAATATGCTTGTTTCCTATTCAATTTCTTGCCTGGTATAATGCAGTTCATATATCTACATTTTCCTTTTTCCACTCAGTTGTGTCCAAATCTTGGAGGCTGCCTAGACAACTCCCTGCAGTTTCCTTAGCAAAGCTTTTCAAAAGAGGTTTGCCATTGGCTCCTTCGTAGTACTGAGAGAACATGATTAGCCCAAGGTCACCCAGTTGGCTCTGTTCCTGGGGTGGGACTAGAACTCAACAGTCTCCTGGTTTCTAGCCAGATACCTTAGCCACTACATTAACCTGGCTCTTGTGACCTGCAGTAATTTCACTTAAATTTAAGCAAGATTAACTCTGTGCTGGTTTAGGGACCATGTAGTTTCAACCCTGTTTTCTCCCTCTTTTAATTTCTCTATAGTACAAAGAATAAATATTTGAACTTCATTGTAATAGTATTTGTATATCTTTGAATTATGCAACGTTGTTGAAATATCTTGCTATGTGTTTGTGTTTACCTGTCTATATATATTTGTATGTGTGAACCTAAAATGAAATTCTTTTCACAATTGAGCATCTACTTTAGATATAAGAAAAATCAACCAGAAAGGAATTCATTGATCTCAGTAACAAGCAAGAAAAAACCTGATTGATGTAGGTAGTAGCAAAGGAATATATTAAGTCATTCTATCATTTTATTTTAGCCATTGATCAGCAAACACACATTATGTTGTCATAACACACAGCTATAGCCCACAACTTAAAGCAGAAATAATTGAAAAAATAGCCAACGGTCAATTTCAATTTCTGTAGCTGCTTATTCCACTACCACTGAATCGCTGTAGTAACTATAGCAACTGATCTTGAGGCAAATGAAAACTCATCTTCTGTGTAATACTTCCTTACCTAGAACTGCTCAATTGTTAATGATGTAATTTTGCATGAAGAAAAAGGTTTCTATTGGATCTGTAATGTAATATAGAGAAAAGTGGGGAATGAATTTACCTAGGTGAAATTGACCTCCTTTTGATCCTAATTTTTGATGCTATATTCTATTTCTAAAATATTCAGAATTTTAGGCTACAATCAAAAGCCACAACATTTAGTTCCTTATTAATATTCTAAAAATGCATGAATACATGCACATACTCAAAGAGAACATCCCAAGAAACCTCTGAGGTGGCTTCTTTCTGCACATTTTCTATTTTTCATTCTTTTGAAATGGAATAATTACAGTCTGTGTTTATAGTCTGCATTTTGGATTCCTAAGAGAGTGGTTGAATGACTGACTCAATTTGAACAATCATATTCTGGCATAATAACCTAGGATATGCACAAGATTCCGGCTCCATACACAACAATTTTTCTGTCTCCATTCAAATCACAAAATGGAGTACCAGAACATAGAAAAGGAACTATTGTAAACACATTTATTCAAATAACAATGCAAACATCTGAAACTAGCATAGAATATAAGAGCTTTATAAAGTAAAATCCACACCCCCTTAGAACATCATTGGCTTTTTCTGCTGCTGTGCTAAGACATCAGGTGACCACGAGATCAGGTGGACAATCATCTGTGATTTCCTATGGAAATTCATCTCCAATGAGACTTGTTTGGCCTCGCTCACACTGTCATATTTAATGTGATGAAGTTGTCTCCGTTCTCATATAGACAGGAGGGCTTCCCAACAGCCATTTCAAGTTAGTGTACTCCAGTTGTGTTGAAAAACAGTGTTATCATTCTAGTGAGAAAGTAATGGAATTGTAACCCAAGACATCAGAGATTGTGGAGGGCTAGTTTTGATTAAGAAATTCTGGTATCCCAAATCATATTGTATTAAGGAATGCATTATCTATTAATCAATGTATGTGTATATTATTAAAGGCTTTTTTGAAAAGACTTGAAGCAGTGAAACCAACAACTGGCATGAAGCGCTCAGAACAGCTCACTGACTACCAGCGGCAGATGGGCTACTTTCGCACTGCTGGAACTCCGAGGCGAGGAAAGTCTGCCTTGAATCATCAGAGTCCATCTAGTAAGTCATTCCAGAATCTTCATCTGCTAATTTCAGTTTGATTAAAGTGTGGGGAAAAAAACCCTCCCTGGCCTTTATTCCTACCAGATAGGGAATGAAATCAAATCTGATCATCTGCTATGCCTTAATTTTTTATTCACTATGCAAGGAAATTACGTTTATCTCCTTTTATACTTTTTCTAATATTTATAGGTTATTTAATATTTGCATGTTTATCGAGGTCATTTTTTTAATCGGCACAAATAACATCACTTAACCCTAAGGATTGAATCTAAACATTGTACGGTACCAATAGTACTTGCCCAAAGTGAGTTGGTCCTACATCTTGCCAAGCCCTCTATACTACATGCATGCTGATCTCCTAAGCCCAGAATAAGTGATTGACTACCTCCAAGAGCAGCAGTAACACTGACCAAGGTTACCTTTTTCATAAGCTGCATCCCACCTGCTGGTGGTCAAATCCAGAGAGTATTTCTGGTCCTGTTCTACTATGTGGTTTAATGTTTATACTGTTGACTTAAAGTTGCTTAAGTATATATTGCTTACTTAAAGCTCCATATGATCTCTTTTGTGTACAATTTTGACAGGAGGTACATCCCGAACTTCCAGTCATAGTGCATCCAGTACTATAAATCGAAGGAGTGAAAAACCAGTTTTTGATAAATGGTGCACTGCAACAGTTGAACCCCAGTAACATTCATGGCGCCTGGTTATAAATAATTTGCACTTCGCTATCAGATTTCTAATCTCTGGTGGTTTGGGGATTACTGTAATTCTGTGCAGGACTGTTGTAATATTGAATAATTAAAGGATACTGGAAAGTAGTATTAACTATAAATGGATACAATCTTGATTCTTTTTTTTCCATCTTTCTAATGTGTGCTGGACGGTATCTTTATAGTCAGTATTTCTTAAAACAATACTTGTATTAAAAAGTGGCAACATTGCAAACCTTATTTTCTCAAAGTCAAATGAAATTGAGGTTTGAAAAGTATGGGTTAGGGTAGACCAGAAATGTAAACAATATAATAAAATTTCATTTGTTTTTAGTCTTAAATTTTTAATTCCTTACCATGAAATTTAAGGTAATTTCATTATTGCAAACTTTTAATTTCATAATTTATAAGATCTAATAAAAGTTAGATGGAGAGAACATATACAACTTGGCCTTGGTGCTGTCAGTTACAACATGGAAATCATAAACTGAGTCTTTTCAGATCAGTTCTCCAATTTTAGAAATGTGGATTTAGATAAGCATTTAAATAAATGTAAAAAGTATTGTCTATTATCTAGAATTCTAAAGAACTTGTACTGTAATGTGTTAACAATTTTGGTCTGTGATATATTTGCACAATTATATTTATTAAATTATTCTCTAAAAATTTGTTTCTTGAAGTAAAAATGAACAGAAATCTTGTGGGTGCACTTCTTAAATCTTGGCACTTTGGAATCTCCATAAGCATATTTTTCTTTGTCAAAAACTACGAAGTGTGATTAGTTATGAAGGTATGAAAATTGTACATCTGTCATTTAAAAATTAAGTAAAATATTTAATTGAATTACTTCAGTGTGCAGTTCTTTTCTGTAATTTAAAAATCACATTCTGCTTTTAATTGTATTTATAATAGCTGTCTGCTCCAGAATATTACTTGGATTCTCCATCATTCATTGATTTACGAAATAATTTATAGTTAATTTCCTGTTTGAATTCCGTATGCATTTATCTTAATATCTCTAGGTTATAAAAAGTTCTAATCTATCTCAATTATCTGTCCATAATTATCTGTACAATGTAACGGTAAACTTAGGTTTGTATTTAAAATGCATACATGAACAAAACATTTGCTTTTTAATTAACAAGTGATACATGAAGAGGCATCAAGACTCTGCAATCACAATTAAATGCAAGTATTGAAGTAAAACAAAAGCAAAACTATGGAGTTAAGCCTGATTTTCTTTATAAATAGGAACAGTATCAAGGGAGAATGCAACAAGATCTAGCATACCCACAGTATGCTTTGCATTTCAATCCCTTTCCTAATGATTTCAAACGCCATTTCTGTATATTGGGATTTTTTTTTCAAAGTGCCTGTGGTATTTGCACCATAAATAAAGTTCTCGAGTTCATTTCAGGATTTTATCTGCAGTACCATCCAGTTTTATATTTTAAGTACTTATGGAAAAAGAACCTCAGAACATAAGGAATTTACACTGCTCAAAAAAATAAAGGGAACACAAAAATAAGACGTCCTAGATCTGAATGAATGAAATATTCTTATTAAATACTTTGTTCATTACATAGTTGAATGTGCTGACAACAAAATCTCACAAAAATTATCAATGGAAATCAAATTTAACAACCCATGGAGGTCTGGATTTGGAGTTACACTCAAAGTGGAACAAAACACTACAGGCTGATCCAACTTTGATGTAATGTCCTTAAAACAAGTCAAAATGAGGCTCAGTAGTGCGTGTGGCCTCCACGTGCCTGTATGATCTCCCTACAATGCCTGGGCTTGTTCCTGATGAGGTGGCGGATGGTCTCCTGAGGGATCTCCTCCTACACCAGGACATCCCCCAACTCCTGGACAGTCTGTGGTGCAGCGTGGCGTTGGTGGATGGAGCGAGACATGATGTCCCAGATGTGCTCAATTGGATTCAGGTCTGGGGAATGGGTGGGCCAGTCCATAGCATCAATGCCTTCATCTTGCAGGAACTGCTGACACACTCCACCCACATGAGGTCTAGCATTGTTGTGCATTAGGAGGAACCCAGGGCCAACCGCACCAGCATATGGTCTTACGAGGGGTCTGAGGATCTCATCTCGGTACCTAATGGCAGTCAGGCTACCTCTGGCAAGCACATGGAGGGCTGTGCGGCCCCCTAAAGAAATGCCACCCCACACCATTACTGACCCACTGCCAAACCGGTCACACTGGAGGATGTTGCGGGCAGCAGAATGTTCTCCACGGAATCTCCAGACCCTGTCATGTCTGTCACATGCGCTCAGTGTGAACCTGCTTTCATCTGTGAAGAGCAGAGGGTGCCAGTGGCGAATTTGCCAATCTTGCAAATGCCAAACGTCCTGCACAGTGTTGGGCTGTAAGCACAACCCCCACCTGTGGACATCGGGCTCTCATACCACCCTCATGGAATCTGTTTCTGACCGTTTGAGCAGCCACATGCACATTGGTGGCCCGTTGGAGGTCATTTTGCAGGGCTCTGGCAGTGTTCCTCCTGTCCCTCCTTGCACAAAGGCGGAGGTAGCGGTCCTGATGCTGGGTTGTTGTCCTCCTACGGCCTTCTCCACGTCTCCTGATGTACTGACCTGTCTCCTGGTAGCACCTCCATGCTCTGGACACTATGCTGACAGGCACAGCAAACCTCCTTGCCACTGCTCGCATTGATGTGCCATCCTGGATGAGCTGCACTACCTGAGCCACTTGTGTGGGTTGTAGACTCCATCTCATGCTACCACTAGAGTGAAAGCACCGCCACCATTCAAAAGTGACCAAACCATCAGCCAGAAAGCATAGGAACTGAGAAGTGGTCTCTGGTCACCACCTGCAGAACCACTCCTTTATTGGGGATGTCTTGCTAACTGCCTCTGCTTTCCACCTCTTGTCTATTCCATTTGCACAACAGCATGTGAAATTGATAGTCAATCAGTGTTGCTACCTAAGTGGACAGTTTGATTTCACAGAAGTGTGATTGACTTGGAGTTACATTGTGTTATTTAAGTGTTCCCTTTATTTGTTTGAGCAGTGTATATCTAGTAAATATTCTAGTCATCAGAAGGCATCAGGAAATTGAGGTAATACATTTTATTTGTTCACATGTATAAGTAGTTTATATGTAAACTACTTAGTAATGCAAATGTGATGATCTAGGGCATGACACAAAGGCAACACAGTCACATAAGTAAAAAGAGCCCCTTTATTACCTCCAATTTTGCTTCCAATGTCCAGGTTACCTTTGGCTGGAGAAAAACACTCCCAAGAACAGTCTTTATATGGAGGAAATTCAATCCAAAAACAAAGTACATACAAACTGTAAATAAAAATCCACATGAACCACGCTGCAGTAATTAACTTGACAGGGCAGGAGAAGGAATTGCAGACTTGAAAGGCCAGCAAAACACACACAGTTGGGAAGACACCAGGAACCCAGATAAGCCTTGACAATGCCAGATAATTAATGATTTGCTCTCAACAGTTGGCTGTGCGCAACTTCTCTTTTTAAACACTGTTTTCCCAGCTGCAGCTAATGAAGAATCAGGACCCTTTCTTCCCCCATAAGCCACGCAATTCAAGTTGCTCCTTTCTCCGTTCCTCCCTGTGAGCCCTACAATGAAGAGGGGGTGGGCCTGGGTTTTCCTCTGAATTCCCTCTGCCTTGCTCTACCTCTCCCTGCTCTGCCAGCCGGACTTTGCCCTTCCCCAGTTTCTTCCACAGCCAACAGAGCCACACTCCCACTCCCTGTCAGCTGCTCGGCCTCCCCCTCGGAATCAGATTCCGACAGGGGCATGACAGCAAAGGTACAAACAATTATATGCAGCTTTTAAAATATTTTAGATAGGACTGAATACTAAAAATTATCACTTTACTGTAATTTCTGATATGGCATAAATGGGAAGTACTAAATGCATGAACATTTTTTTTGCGTTTTTAACTGAAAATGCAATTAGATTTAACATCAACTCAGCTCCCAACTGTGAAGAATACTGCAAAACTGAATATAAACAACAGACATTTCTAGAGGAAGATGAAAGTTCAATTTCACTGATTAGGAGACATACTTTTTTTGCACATTGACTTTATCTCAGTTCTCTCACACACTGATGTCATGTAATCTATTCCTAGAATGCCTCTAATTATGACCTAAAAATGGTATCTCTGTTCCAAGAAACTCATTAAATATAGTCATAGTCCAGAAGGTTGAAGATAAGGGTAATGGGGGGAAGGGAGCAAGGAATATCAGAAAATTAAATTGTACCTTTAGACTTGCAAGGTTTTGCTATCATAGCCTTACAGTAAAGTGGAGTTCACTCACCTAGTTGTGTTTTGTATCTGGTTTACCTGGCTGGGCTGCCAGGCCCACGGCCAGAGATGACACAGTGAAGTCCAATTGGGTTCAGTCCTTTTATTTGCTTACACTTAAATGAACAGAATCTTGCCATACTCAAGCTATGTATGGCCTTCTAACCTACTACAGTAGATATATCCTGAGAGATTCCAGATGTAGCTATCCTAAACTTCTCCCCCCCTCCTCCAATCCAACTCAGGATTGCTCAATCTCTTAATCTGGATTTATTTCTGGGAAAGCTCTGCATTGCCAAAACTCCTCCCCACTGCTTCTCTAGATGCCCATTCCAATCCAAAGGCTGACAATAATAAGCAACCCATGACTCATTGGGTCATCCTTTTCACATATATTATAGGCAGGTCCCATTATCTCTCCCCTCGTGACCCTCAGTAGAGCTCTGATGAAGCAGACAACTCCTCGGGTCAGCTGCTGAATTGCCTGCTACTTTGCTGGTGGGTAGGGAGAACAAAGGGAGCCACAGAATGCGAGGAAAACTACCCTCACTCGCCAACCCCGCAGGTCCCCAAGTCCTCTTTCCCTCAAGAAGGGTTCACCTATTGATCACTGGCCCTCAGCCAGCTCTATGTTGTCTTCAGGCATCTAAGTCACTCCTAGTCCCTCACCACTCGCTGCCATTAAAAGATTTCAAATTTTGGCCTCGGTTTCAAAGCAGCCAATCACTGATCACCTGCCTGGCCTTGTTGCCAGCTGATTGGATACAGGGAGGGAGAGTGGGGGTACACTCCTCATATTATCTTGTGCCATGCAACCTCTGGGTTTCTGGGAAGTATAAGGCAGCACTGAAACGATGACAACCTTTGCCAAATTTCAATCCCACGGAAACAATTCACTGGTTTTGAATGGATGCTGTATGTTACTCTGAGGCAAAATCTGTCTAGGTGTAGATTTCAAACGAAGTGCTGTCACTGAATGTTCTAGCAGCTCAAGCTGCTTTTGCTTTTTCCGACAATTACAAACAAAATAAAATGAATGCTGTTACCCTATGTTGAAGATCATACAATACTAAACTGAATAAGAACACCGCAGGTGAGCTATATCTGACTATACAATAATCTTCAATTTACAAACAATTGAGCCCAACATTTATGTTGCTAAGTGAGATAGTTGTTAAGTGAATTTTACTTCTTTTTATGACCTTTCTTGCCACAGTTGTTAAGTGAATCACTGCAGTTGTTAACTTAGTAACACGATTGTTAAATGGATCTGGCTTCCTCGTTGACTTTGTCAAAGGGCCGCAAAAGGCGATCATATGACCTTGGGCCTCTCCAACCATAATAAATATGAGTCACTTGCCAAGCATTTGGATGTTGATTACAGGGCCATGGAGATACTACAATGCTTGTAAGTGTGAAAAACTGTCGTGAGTCACCTTTTTCAGTGCCCTTGTAACTTCGAATGGTCACTAAATAAACTGTTGTAAATCAAAGACTTCCTGTACACATTCAATAGCAACCTTCCTTTTAGCACCTACTCACAAGAAAGAGGATCCCAAAGTTAAAAAGAATGGTCATTATTGCAATCATTACTGAGTATTTAGAGATATTAAGGCCTGGAAAAAACAAATGCGATTTTCTCACCCAGGTTATCACATCTCTGGGAATGTGCATGAGCATTGCAATCCTAACAAGACAAAAAGGAGATAGATTTGACATAAATATTTTTTCCAATATGTGATTAAAGATAAAATTAGGAGAAATGAAGAACAGCATTTCCTGTGAAGTGTTTTGCTATTATTTCCTGCAGAGATTAAAGCTGTTTTGTCTTATATGAGTCAGAATCACGCTCATCGTTGTACTTTTTCTTGCTAGCTTAGAGTGACAAACAGAACCCTGTTCTCTGCCCCTCTCTTCTATCATAACACCACACATGTGCACACACATTCACCTCTTCACGGACTCTTCACTATCTGGAAGCTACAATACTTGAAAGAACTTCTGCAGTGGATTTATCACACACAAAAAAGATTTAATTTCTACTATTTATTAAAATTCATTTTTGTAGTTGTTTAAATACTTTATCAACACACCTCCTCTGGAAATATTTTTATTCATAGGAATATATTATTGATATTTGTCAAATAAATGTATATGTACAAAGACCTCATCAATTTTCCATACAAAAAAGTTTGACGTGTCATAAATCATCACTGAGCAATCTTTATAGTTCCCCAATTTGACCTCTCAACTGGATTTGACCCACAGTAATCTGTTTCCGTAGGAAATATTTAGTTGCCTTTAACTCACGTGTAAATATGTAATTAAACAGAACATAAGAGTCAAGTAGTTTGACTTGCTTAGACAAATTTCTTGATCTCATCATACAAGACTAATACAAAAGCGCCTCCCATGCCTCTTAGCACATTGGACCAGGCACCTTTGAAGAAAGCCTTGCCTCCTTCATCTTTAGCGATCTTCTTCCAGCAATCGATTGTACCCTTATACATGATGTCAGCTGTGGAAGTAAACATATTCAGGTAAATCACTGGAAAGAGAGAACTGGATCTGTATAACACAATCATTTCTCTAACTCCAACAAATAAAGCATCATTGCAAAGTTGCTCTCCAGTTATTACTTCAAAGTAAGAACTTCCAAACCTTACTTCAAAGGTTTGTAAAATAAAATTGCACTTTTTTCTCTTAACATAAACTTGAAGCTCAAGAGAATTTCATCTCTCTGTGTTTAAGAACTGTACTGATCTGAAGGTAATAGTTTAACATAACAAATGCAAATAAATATAACTTTTTTTCAAAATTGTGCAAATTGAATTTCTGCAATAAGGTTCTTAAATATGTTCCAAATAAAAAAGCAGAAATTAAACCGAAGCTTTCTTAGCATTAAATAATTATATGCTCCTGAAGATGGGGGACTAGAAGTAGCTGTCCTATTGGGGTAGTTGACTCTGGACATGGGACTCTATATACGGAAGCCTTGCTGCCATCTCATCCTGCTTGCAGCCGTTCCCAGCAAGCCACCACTCTCCATGTAACAAAAGTGGTTTATTTAATGTATCCTTACACTGAGGCAGATGATACTCGAGTAAGCTAAAAGGGATAGCCTTGCCTCTTGCACAAACCAGCTGTTTCCTGCCCTTCCTTTTCTTTGCAAAAGGGAAGAGTAAAATAGGAAAAATAGAGCTGATTTGAGCATGACTCCTACAAGAACTCAGAGCTTGTCTCTGTTGCTTTTACTTTTACTTTACTTTTAACCCAGGTGTCTTTCTGAAAATGAAAGCCTACAGCGTGGCCAGTGGGAAAAAGTAATCAGTGCATTAGAACTTATTCCTATTACAGGTAATCCTCAACATATGACCATTATAGAGACTGCCCATTATGGTCAAAAGTCATAGTGGTCACAAAGAGGTTCATAGTGTGACCAATCTGATTTTGCAGACTTTTTGTTGTGGTCATTCACTATGGGGCATTTTTACCAAAAAAAAAAAAAACAGAAATAAATGCTGATTTTCAACAAAAATGTCATAAATCATGGACATGTCATCATGGGACAATGTAAATGGCCATAAATGTGGGCCAGGTGCTGAACACGCAAAACGTGGCCACATAGCCATGGGTGAGTGGAGGGGGGGCCATCAGAACTAGTCATATGTACACTTGGGGCAGTCCATCAGAACTTTGAACAGTCACTAAGTCAAGGTTATAGCTAAGGTCAGTGAGCAAAACCCATCAACCTGTAGGAACAGATTCTTTCTGATTATGAGCCTTGGTGGTGCAGTGGTTAGAGTGCTGCACTGCAGGCCACTTCTGACTGCCGACTGGCTGCAATTTGGCAGTTCAAATCCCACCAGGCTCAAGATTTACTCAGCCTTCCATCCTTCCGAGGTGAGCAAAATGAGGACCCAGATTGTTGGGGGCAATAGGCTGGCTCTGTAAAACCACTTAGAGACAGCTGTAAAGCACTATAAAGCGGTATATAAGTCTAAGTGCTATTGCTATTGCTGGATGAAGGAATAACTGTGCTTCATGCCAAATGATATCAAGTCGTTCTACTGTCTGAAAAGTGGAAGTGCTGAGAGACGAGGAAAATGGTTATTCTCTTACCTCCTTTTCTGCCAGACTGCATCATCATTCTACGTCGGACAGTGTCAAAAGGGTAAGATACCAGACCTGCTACTGCAGTTACAGTCTGGGCTATCATCCAGCTGACTACGATGTGCACATTCTTTGGATCAGGCAACATGCCTATTATCATGAGAAGATCGCCCAAAGATGAAAACCGGAAGAAAGAGAAAAATTATCAGTAACACTTATAATTTCTGTTCCATACACCAGCAGATCCATGATACGTGGTCTACATGTTATCTCTACCATGGCGCCACAGCAAAACTGTAGAGCTGCTTGGTAGAAAAAAGACTTCTACATATCAGATATTACTGATACTGGGAGTCTTCAACTTACAATCACAATTGAGCCGAAAATTTCTGTTGCCAAGCGAGGCAGTTGTTAAGTGAGTTTTGCCCCATTTTATAATCTTTCTTGCAACAGTTGTTAAGGGAATCACTATTGTTAAGTTAGTAACATGGCTGTTAAATGAACCTGGCTTCCCTATTGTATTGGCATATTCCCTAATATGCCAATTGCCAAGTGTCAGCAACAAGTTTAAAAATACAATTTTTAAAAAAATTATTTTTACTTTTATTTTTTTAAATTAAAAAAAGCCTTGATAAACTCTTATGGGATGTTTTGAGAGTTATAGTTACTGTAGTGTTGTGCCCTCAGTGAGCTTCATGACTAAGCAGGAGTTCAAATCTAGACTTCCACTATTCAAAGGCAACATTCTAGCCATTGCATTGTAAACATTATCTTGAAAAACTGTAGTATACTGTCAGATCTTTATACTTCTGTAAAGCCTTTGATTCAGTGGTACCCAACAAACTACTCCTATAACTAAAATCTTATGGTATCTCTGGACAACTGCATAACTGGATAGAAGCATTCCTGTCAAACAGACAACAAATGGTCAAAATTGGAAGTGTCCTATCAGATTCTGTACCTGTCAATAGTGGTGTCCCCCAAGGCAGTGTTCTAGGACCAACTCTCTTCATACTCTACATAAATGACCTCTGTGATCATATTAAGAGCAACTGCGTTCTCTTTGCTGATGATGTAAAGCTGTTCAATACCACAGACAACACTGCTACCCTTCCAAAAGATCTTGACTATGTATCAGAATGATCAAACAAATGGCAACTTCAAATCTCAACAAATAAATGCTCTGTCCTACATATTGGCAAAAAAAATCAGAAAATACAAGCTGATTAGTCAAGACCTTGTTGATGATCCCAGCTCTGTAAAGGACCTTGGAATATTCATCTCTAATGATCTAAGTGCTAAAGCCCACTGTAACCACATAGCCAAAAAGGCATTAAGAGTTGTTAACCTAATCCTACATAGCTTTTTCTCTGGTAATATCACACTACTAACTAGAGCATACAAAACATTTGCTAAACCAATACTCGAATACAGCTCATCAGTCTGGAACTCACATTACGTATCTGATATTAACACAGTTGAGAAAGTCCAGAAATATTTCACAAGAGTTCTCCATTCCTCTACTTGTTGTAGAATACCTTATGCTACCAGACTTGAAATTCTAGACCTAGAAAACCTTGAATTATGCTGTCTTCTGTCTGATCTAAGTATGGCATATAAAATCATACATTGCAATGACTTACCTGTCAATGAATACTTCAGCTTCAACCATAACAACACAAGAGTACACAATAGATACAAACTCAAGGTTAACCGCACCAAACTTGATTGCAGGAAATACGACTTCAGCAACAGAGTGGTCAATGTCTGGAATAATCTACCGGACTCTGTGGTTTCTTCCCCAAACCCCAAAAACTTTAACCTTAGACTGTCTACTATTGACCTCACCCCTTTCCTAAAAGGTCTGTAGGGGGCGTGCATAAGCTCACCAACGTGCCTACTGTCCCTGTCCTATTGTTTCTTTTATTTTTCTTATATGTACCCATTTCATGTATTCATAACTATGTATATACTTATACCTATTATCTTGTAAGCAATTGACAAATAAAATAAAATAAATAAATAAATACTCGTGTAGTGTCTGAAGAAAATGTCCTAGATCTAAAGAATTATTAGTTTCTTAACTGCATTGCCTTTTTGTTCCTGCAGATGGCAGCATTGTGCTAACCTTGCTGAGACTGGAAAACTATGGTATGTAGAGTCAAGTCTGGTTAATACTTGGTAATAACCCTGACCGGACCAGAACACTAGAATGCAAGTCAAAAACACAATCTTGTAGATAGCAAGAGCAAACCACTTCTGTAGTGCTGTCAAGAGTACCTCACAAGAAATCAATTTCAATCCAAGGATATTTTTTATCATATTGCCATTCTAAAACGTCTCTTAAACCTGGAAACAAATGGCCTTTTTACACATATTGCTAAGCTACACTCTGGTTTCTTCATAGTGAAATATGTGAATTTGCATGTCATTAGCCCAAACCATCATGACTTGTTTCATAAACCCTAGGTAAAACCGTGGTTTACATTCTGTACAAATGCAGTTAGAATTAAGATGCAGCTGGAGGCTGGAGTATTTGGCATATTTTGATTTCAGCATGTACCATCAAGTCATTGTTGATTTTAGCAACCACATAGTTTGGTTGCTAAACTATCTACATAGTCCAGGATGATATTTGGCACATTAGGGAACAAGAAAATATAGAATACCAAATTGTCTAACTTTGAGAGATTATTGTATTATTTTTCAAAGAGACAGTTACCAGTACTTAAATATAATAAGTTAATTGACCATAGAAAGTTGATTAACCATAGAAAATCAGCTTATTACTTCATATAGAACAAATCATACTATTATAAATCATTGAAAATTACAGATCAAAAGGGAAAATGTGTTTAAAACACTTTTTTCCTTAGGAGAAAAAACAGAATTCTATATCCTTCTCCATTATCAACTGATTTACCCACAAGATCCATTTTTAGGCAACATTTACAAATCCCATCAATTGAAATGCAGTTTGTTAAGCAAAGCTGTGTTTAGCTTAGCTTTCCTTTCACCGGGCGCTCAACAGCCATGTTGGCTGGGAATATATCTAGGGCTTGGGGAAGCCTGATCAGATCATTATTTCAGCACCACTAGATGTCTGTTTCTTACCTTTAGCTGTATCGTAGACGCCAAAATAAGCAGCTCGGTAGATGATGATACCCTGGACTGACACATTGAATCCCAAGTAGAGACCCCTGAGGCCATCAGATTTGTAGATCTTAGCAATGCAATTGCCTAGCCCAGTGAACTGCCTCTCATTCAGCCCTTTGCCCACATCAGCTGCTAGCCTAGTCCTAGCAAAATCTAGAGGATACACAAAGCAGAGAGAAGTTGCTCCTGCTGCACCTCCAGAGGCCAGGTTGCCTGCAAAGTAGCGCCAGAACTGCTTGTGTCTGTCCACTCCCCCAAGGAAAATCTGCTTGTACTTGTCCTTGAATGCAAAGTTGAGGGCCTGGGTGGGGAAGTACCGGATGACATTGGCCAAGTTGCCTCTCCAGAAGGAAATGATGCCTTGCTCCTTGGGAATCCTTACCACACAGTCCACGATTCCCTTATACTGTTTTTCGGCTGTGATTTGTTGGCTAGCATGCTGGACCTATTGAATGAATGAAACCCAAAAAGGAGGGAAGAAAAACAAAATGAAGTAAAGGGAAATGGATAACTGTTGCTTGGGTTGCTTGCTCAGATTGAACACATAGCAATATGTCTATGGAAATTCTCAGTCCTCCAGGTCATGGTTGTCCCAGAGGTGATTTTTTTCAAGAGGCAACTTGGACTTTCTGATTTTTCTTTGGAGATGTGTCACTTCAGATCATCCAAGAAGCTTCTTCAGAGCTGAAGAAACTTCTTGTATGAGAAGCAAAATGTCTTCAAAAGAACCAGAAAGTCCAGTTGCCGCTTGAAAAAAGCACATTTGGGACACTTTGGGACAACACATAGTTAAATTTCACTGCAAATGGAATTTTGTTCCATATCAAAACTAGTTATCAATTTAAAATTAACAGCAATAGCATCAATACATTCAACTCTATTAAATGCATAGGTTTATTTGGACATAAGATCTGAAAAACATAAATCTAAGAAATATATTTGCTCCTTCAGCCAGTTCATATTTGCTCATGGGAAGCCTGCATACTAGGTCTCTATACGTACATATCTTAAAAGGTGATTGGACAGTAAAGTTACACAAAGCTATTCAAAAGAAGCATTTGCAAAACATGCACCAAAAGGAAAGCATCATTTTGAAGTATCAAAGCAGCTGTGTCCTCTAGAAACCTTGCATGGATTCTTTCGAGGTTGACCTTAGCTGCTGGCACAGTTGCTGCAGCTTTACCTTCACCCTCACAGTTGCTTCACTTTCTCAGAGATTGCCAACAGTTTTTTCTTCCTATGAATATGCAATATGGACAATCAGGGATTGCCTTCAAAGCAGCAGTGTTAGCCTTTCAAAAAGCACACCTGCTTTAATATTTCAAGGAAGTAGACTTTGGTCATACCAATACACTTTATGAAGCACCCCCTTGCACAGCTTTACTAGGTTGTATGTGTTAAATAAAAGATTGTATTAATTCAAGCTTGAAGATCCAATTTACATACACACAAGCTTTCTTTCACGTAGGCATCTCTTTTGGGAATTCAGTCCTTTTAGTCACTCTCCATAAGTTACCAAACCATTGAGCCAAGCAGCAAACTTTTATGCAACAGATTAGTTTAAATGGAACTAGGTTAGAAAATATATGGGGGCACATTTCCATTTGCACTGCCCATTGAATATTACTTTTTATTGGGCTGAATGGTACACCACATGTGCAATACAAAGAGAATAATCAAGGCCTCAAGGAGTTTCCTCAAGCCCTGGGTAGCTTTGCTATATACTTTGCCAAGAACAGGGCTGCACCGATCTTCTGTCATCAGAACTGCACAACTGCAGTTTCCATATTTAGTCACTTCATCTGATACTAAAATTCCTACTCCATTCCTATTTACAACCTCACACTTGGCTCCATGCAAGACTTTTTTTTTTTTTTGCTAGTAATGCAGAGCACTACTTTGAGGGACAACAGACTTGCCCTATCATTCCAAGATTTCTTAGAAGAAACCTGTGAGAAACTGATAAGGCAGAGTCCCCAAGTAATTTTTACATGTTTCCATCAGGGAGGAATGTCCTTGCTCTCTACTTTTTAGGAAACGCCAACGAAACCAAACAGCCTCTCCAATGGCAGGTGCAAGATTAATATCTGAGCAGTTTTCCTCCCAAACTCTATGGATAGAGAGAATGAGCACATCTCCAAATTCAGCCACTCTGCTCACCTGTAGCAGCAACTTGACTCTTTCAATAGGTGCTACAGCCGTCTTGGAAATGGCAGCAGCGATACCCCCCGCCAAAAAGTCTTTAAGAAAACTGAGAGCCTGGTCAGCCATACTAAGGGGAGCGACACTCCAAATCCCCTTCCCTTAAAAAAAAAAAAGAGGGAACCAAAAATCCCTAGAGAGTCGTCGATAGGTACCTCCCCACCCAGCTAGACACCCCCGTCGAGTCACACAGCTTCGGACAGACAATCCCTTACCTTTTCCAACTATTTATAAGTTTTCCGGGTCTCGCGATAAGAGGAGGACCCCCGGGGGGCTGATCCGCCAGCACATTGGAGGGCACTGTGGGGAAGGCGCCATATTGCTCTCTTCCGATGGGGCAACCTCTGAGTGAGGGTCGCCGGCAAGGGCACAGTCATGTTATCTGGTCCCCTTCAGGCGTCAGGACACGGCATGTGCTCGCTGTATTAATAGCACAAGGGCAGTGGGAGGGGGAGCGGTCCTTCAGGACGAGGCGTTTAACCCTTTGGAAAGTCCTCGCCGGCACCGCCCGGCGAAGTGGAACGAGATGCGCGCAAGGAGGGGGCGATCCCCATAGAGTGGACCCCTCGAAAGGCTAGGCCCCCTTTCAAACTTTAGATGAGCGCTTCCCTCTCCTGCCTCCGAAACACCCTGCCACGCATCGTAGCTATAGAATTAGTTAGAGAATCCGGTCTCCACGCGGTTTTACGGGTGACCCCGGCTTTTTACAGGTGGCTAGCCAAAGAAGAGGTCGCTTTAATTATTTAACCTTATTTATAAGCCATGGTAATCTTCTCCCCAAAGTGACTTTGGACAATTACTTTATATAATCTATTATCTTGTGAGCGATTGACAAATCAAACAAACCAATAAATTACTTTATATAATAATATATGATACTGGTCAGTAAAAAATACATGTTTGATTTTTCAGCATCCTGCTCATGCTGGTTTTGTAATACTGCAAAGCTTTAATTGGCTGTTTACTAATTACATTTTCTTTATTTTTTTTATATTTCAGAAACTTGGTAACAATCCAGAATATTTGCATTATTGATTGGATATAATACCAGCAACAGTAAATATAAATAGATGAAGTCACAATTATCTTTGTGGAAATGTAAAATGAACAGTAAATAAACCAGTGGTGAATGGCATCTTTTAATACATGTAACATTTGTACACAACATTGTAAGCTTGAGAATAGGCTGGGTATGATGTAAAAACAATCGTCTAGAAAGAATTATTTCATCATTTAGCACTTCTTTAAGAGTCTTGTATGTTAAGAAACTACTGATATAACTTGCTTGGGCACAGAACAATTTTCTGATTTATAGAGAGCTTTATATAGGATAGTCAGATACAAAAAAAAACCCTGTAGTTTAACAAGTTTAATTCTTCCTTTTTGAAACATTTTCCCTTTTACATAAAGCTACTTTTTCTTTGAGAAACATTTAGTTTCAGGTGCATGTGGTGTTTGTTCTGATACATCAGATCAAACTAGCTTATCTCTAGTTGGTAAAAGCCTACCAATGACTTTCCTAGCTCTGCTATTAAGGCCTTTTATGTGTCAATATTGGACTAAACTGACCCAGTTTCCTGGGGAAATGATATGCTATTAAACTTTGAAAGGAGCCCTTTCATGTGCAAATACGTTTTGCCTCAATATTTTAATTGGCATGCCTAGGTGTTCTCAAATGAACACCTATATTTAAGATACTGGTAGAATTAAATTATGGGAAGCAATGAAATTCTGTGTAAAATAGAATGCTACTGCTTTAAACTTCAGCTGAACTGCTTTCTCTCAATTGCCAGCTATTTTTTTTCTTCCAGTGTCAAGAGAGGGAGGAGTTCACTCTTTCCTGGCTGGGTCTTCTAAGGACAGCATTGGCACATGATTGGAACACAAATATCACTTAGGTGGGAAGAAAACTGGAGCAGGATTCTTGACAGCACATGATTAGGAAACAAAGTTCTAACCCAAAATGTAAAATGCCAGCACAGGGGGTAGTTGTGCATAGTGTAACATTCTTACTAGATGACACCATGAATTTGTGGTTATAGAAAGCATGCTTGCACCCTAGTTTGCCTTGTTTGCTGGGTAGCTTTTTCACACAAATGATGAATAATTAAAAGTAGGCCTTATAGAATCCAACAGCAATTAATTACGAATAAAGTTCCATGATCTATGTGGCTAACTCGCAAAAATGTCACTGGAGTGCACAATGTCCAACAATAAACATAGAATTGCAATAGAACAGAAAATAAACAACTGGGGTGCACTAATATAAGACACCAGATTTCAGAATGAGCTTCTCTGGTTCCAGTGTCACTTCCTGAAGGCTAACAGAATTGGAACAAGTCAAACCTCAGGAGGAAGATGATTCTGCTAAGCAGATACCCTCACAGAAATAGTATGTTTCCTAGGTGTCATCAGACAACATTGCTTTAGGAAGGGACCTGGCACGTGCCCAATTGACTGGAGTGTGTGGGGTGGTAGAAACCACCAGAGATAGGGGTTCCTGCAGATAACCAGGTACTATGCCGTAGAGAGTTTTATAGGTGATAACTTGAACTGCATCTGGAAGACTACTGGAAGCCAGTGCACCTTGTGAACTAAAAGTATTATTTATTATAAAAGTATTGTATTTATGTTATTTGATACTTTGCTGCATTCTGTTCTTCTTTGCTATAAATGTGTGCAGTTGTGTTTTGCTCTGTGTTAATCCTAATTTAAATTTAAATTTTAAATAAATTCCAACTGCAGTTGGATTCACTGAATTCCACAAGAGCAGCTTCTCACAGCCTGCTGATATTCTGCATATTAAGGTACTATTAGAGGCAGTTATTATTGATTAGATGAAAAATCGGGAAACTCTAACCAGTATAAAGGAAGAAATGCATTTATCTAGTTGATGCAGTTTCTTGTGTTGACACAAAACCCCGTGTTTTAACAACATGGGAAGTTCTTTAAGTTGTGAGTTGAGTTATATACTGAACATTCAGCCAGATAGGAAACAGGCAGAAACAAGGAGAGAGATCCAGGGATGGGATAAGGAGGCAGGTACAATTTATATCATAAGCCTTGCAATGATTTACTTAGAGTGAATTATGACATGATGGTGCTATTTCATCACCATCATACTGATAAGAGTGTGACTTGCAATAAAGTTCATGTTTTTTCAATATTGCTTACGTTTACATTTTGAAAGTATACTAATATATAGTTTCAGTCAAAAAACTGCCATTTTGTCCAACCATTGCAGCCTTGCTTTCTTCTGCCTATTGGATCATAGGCAGATACAGTAACAGGCACTCTCACCAAAATACCTTTAACCCAACTCAGTCTTAAGGTCCAAATATACTCAGGAGCTAGTAGTACATACAGCCTTTGGATACAGAGTTTCGGTATTGAAGAATGGGGAAGTTTAAAATAAGACTGGGAGGCTTGTTAGTTCTGATGACATTCACTGAACTTCCTCTGAACTGACCTGTTGTTTTCATGCAAACTGACCTATCTCAGTAATATTATTTCTGAAGAGGACTGACATTTCAGTTGAGAAAATAGTAAACTATAACTCAACAACATCTAACATCTGGCTGTCTTGAAAAGTATACCATGGTTTTAACTAGAATCTGTCTCTGTGACCTAGATTAGCCCTGTAACATACACTGTAATGCTATACCTATAATAAGTCTTCAGCAAGACTCATTTCAATCTATGCCAAATATTTTCATCTCTATGGTCTATCCTTGCTAAGGACATTTATAATTTAAAAAAAATGTTATCAAAGACCCAAGCTCTGTTCTTGATTAATTCTTTTTTTAATCTTCCTCTGACAGATGAATGCTTTCAGATGTTCTTGTCATTGAAGAGTTTTAGTGAGAATTATCATGTTCCGATCCCAAATAATTCACACAGAATGTTTCAGGACTTTCAGTGGAATCTCTCTGCATGTCCTACTATCGGAAGAAAGCTTTCCACAAGTATTTAAATTAAACTAGCTTCAACTAATTTTTGGGAAGCTCAGTATGTCAAATGGAGCAAAAGTATAAGATTCTGTATTTTAATTAATTGCATAAAGATGTACATTACTAGAATGCACACTTCTTTATAGTCCTAAATATGCTCTCCTAAGTATCATTGTGTTGCCCGAGTCCCAGAACAATATTTGATCCTACCAGAAATGGTATATAAAATATGATTGATCACAAAACTCCATATTTTAGGTTTAGAACTGGAAAATAATTAGTATGAGCATCCCTCTTTTTAATGTATATTAAACTTCATACCAGGATGACAATAAACATTGACTCTCCAGAAACTTTTATTTGAAAAATTCTCTAGCTAAAGCGTAAACTTCATCAAATTAACACACCTAGATACCTTGGGTTACTGCAAACAAGAAAGCTATATGCATATAGTAGATGTAGCTACTGCACAACAAAGAAAACAAGTCGTGTATGCCTGAGGGTTTGAATCCTAGAAATTTCCTCCCGTCCCTCTAAAATCACAGACATGTGTTTGTCTCCCAGACTTTCACAGTTGGAAACATCTATTCTAAGCTTACATTAGTTCTGTCTGCCTGAGATTTACTGGTGCCTCTCTTGTCAGCATCAATTCTTCTAAGGCATACAATATCAGGTTTACCATGCCTCTTCAAGATGGGAGGTTTTATGAAAGGCCAAATATTAAATATTGTTTTGGAGCATATTCCCAATCCTCCTGGATATTCTGTAAAAACAGACACTCTGTTTGATGCATATGAAGCAAAATTTATTCAGTCAAGTTTGATAACATTGAAATTAATTGCTGAAGAAAGCTTTGCAAATGTATATTTCTTTTTGCCACGAGATGGCAGAACAAGCAAGATTTAGATCTGTTTAAGTGAATTCTAAAGGTTAAGTGTCTAATCTCCTTACCAGTGTTTTTCAAATTTGCCAAATTTAAGATGTGTGGACTTCATTTCCCATAGTTTCCCAGTCTGCTACCAGTTTGAAAAGGCACTTTGCATCTTTTCTGTCCTATCTGTCTGTCTGTCTGTCTGTCTCTTTCTCACTTGTAATATGATAGGAAGAGAATGAGGAATAAATTCTGTCTCATAAAAATATTTATGGCATAGTTTTCTACAAACAAACCAAAGGCACAGATATTAATTATAGGTATATATTATGAAGATGCTTCAGAAGAGCACAGATTATCATCCAACAGCTGTCAATA